CTTAGTCGCAGTTAGGGTCGGAGAAATGAATTTTTGAATTGAAAAAAAAATTTTCTTTTTCAATCTCCGCACTTTAGAGAACTCATTTGAAAAAAATTTTTTTTTTTCAATCGCTTCGCTCGTTCCAAAATTCACTCTTCCCTCCCTAACAGGTGCTGAGGGATGAAATTTGTGTCACTCATTGTGTATTAAATGCTCAACACGTTGGCACAAATTTCATCCCTTAGTCGCAGTTAGGGTCGGAGGAATGAATTTTTGAATTGAAAAAAAAAATTTTTTTTCAATCTCCGCACTTTGGAGAATTCATTTGAAAAAAAATTTTTTTTTCAATCTCTTCGCTCTTTCAAAAATTCACTCCTCCCTCCCTAACAGGTGCTAAGGGATGAAATTTGTGTCACGTATTGAGTATTAAATGCTCAACACGTTGGCACAAATTTCATCCCTTAGTCGCAGTTAGGGTCGGAGGAATGAATTTTTGAATTGAAAAAAAAAATTTTTTTTCAATCTCCGCACTTTGGAGAATTCATTTGAAAAAAATTTTTGTTTTCAATCTCCTCGCTCTTTTAAAAATTCACTCCTCCCTCCCTAACAGGTGCTAAGGGATGAAATTTGTGTCACTCATTGTGTATTAAATGCTCAACACGTTGGCACAAATTTCATCCCTTAGTCGCACTTAGGGTCGGAGGAATGAATTTTTGAATTGAAAAAAAAATTTTTTTTTCTATCTCTTCGCACTTTAAAAAATTCTCTTCTCCCTCCCTAACTGGCTCAAAGGGATAAAATTTGTGTCACTTATTGAGTATTAAATGCTCAACACGTTGGCATAAATTTCATCCCTTAGTCGCAGTTAGGATCGGAGGAATGAATTATAGAATTGAAAAAAAATTTTTTTTTTCAATCTCCGCACTTTGGAGAATTCATTTGAAAAAAAAATTTTTTTTCAATCTCTTGGCTCTTTCAAAAATTCGCTCCTCCCTCCCTAACAGGTGCTAAGCGATGAAATTTGTGTCACTCATTGAGTATTAAATGCTCAACACGTTGGCACAAATTTCATCCCTTAGTTGCACTTAGGGTCGAAGGAATGAATTTTTTAATTGAAAAAAAAAAAATTTTTTTCAATCTCTTGGCTCTTTCAAAAATTCGCTCCTCCCTCCCTAACAGGTGCTAAGCGATGAAATTTGTGTCACTCATTGAGTATTAAATGCTCAA